AGATTAGATTAGATATGCAAAACAAAGTGCAATGTGGAGATTTCGAATAACTAATTAAAAAAGTAATGAATATAGCTAATGGGCACAATCCACTCATTTATATCCCATTGGTGTAGCTCCCATTCATTTCAATGGTGCCTCAGCTCCCCAAAGGATTTTGCCCAACAGGTTTATTGCACTAAAAGAACCTTTAGAGCTTGAAGCTGTATGCGTGGCAGGTGGAAGAAAAGGGAAGGTGGAAAGTTATTTACAGATGTGACTTGGGAGATCTGCAGTCACAGAGCTCCTTGATCATCATGGTCTGCTGCCCAAACCCAGCAGATGCAAATCTAATTAGATCTAATTACACTTTCCAAAAAGAATGCTAATTTGAGGCAACGGTGTGCAAGGGTGTCTAAGTGCCTCTTTTGCACAACGTGATTTGCCTCTGATTTCTTAAACAACAAGCTCTTTCCAAACCACTACTTTCGGTTAACAAGACACAGGTCTCTGGAATTTAGCAATAACAATCACACCTTCTATCTCTGTTTCCTAGTCTTGATTTCTTGTTGCCTGTCCCCAACAAAATCGGCAACCCTGATTTGCTTGTTAGAAATGCTGCTGATGTGAATTGCTTTTGCTGGTTTTAATCTTGGCCTTCTTTCCTGGGTGTCTCCTTTGCACCAGAAATAACCATCCATAAGGGTGTAAGAAGGCATCCTTTTCCACCCCGTATTTCTCGTATGCAGTATTGTTTCCGTTTTGCTGCAGTCCTTTTCCTGCCCGAAACTACATAACTCATCTTGCTGTCTACTGCAACAAAAGTACATACCGTATTTTTCGCTCTATAAGACGCACCAGACCACAAGACGCACCTAGTTTTTGGAGGAGGAAAACAAGAAAAAGAATATTCTGAATCTCAGAAGCCAGAACAGCAAGAGGGATCGCTGCTCAGTGAAAGCAGCAATCCCTCTTGCTGTTCTGGCTTCTGGAATAGCTGCGCAGCCTGCATTCGCTCCATAAGACACACACACATTTCCCCTTACTGTTTAGGAGGGAAAAAGTGAGTCTTATAGAGCAAAAAATACGGTAATTTATGTGCACTACGCAATGCTACTGTTAGGTGGATTTGTAGCTGGTTGACTGGTGGAACCCAAAGAATGCTCACCAATGGTTCTTCACCATCCTGGAAAAAAGGGGAAAGTGGTCCACCACAGGAATTGACCAGGACCTGTTGATGTTCAACATAACTGACTCGGATGAAGGATGGACTGGCGGCAGAGAGGACAAAGAAGAAGAAGGGGAAATGGTAATCGTTGTCTATTTTTCCCATTCACCCCTCAGACAAAAGGAGCAAATCTATTCACTGGTCCCACTTCTTCTTGAACTGCAACCATTTAACACACAGCTGTGCTCCACATTAACTGAGCAAAATAAATCCCCGGGCAGCATTATAGGGCCTGATCTACACACCTGGATTTATGTTTAGAGGTAAGCTCCCCTTGATCTTGAAATAACCCCCCCAAAAAAACCAACCCTCACATTGAGAGCTGCTTCCTCTGTTCAGCTTCCTTTTTGCTTCGTGGGCAATTCAGTAGCCTTAGCTGTGTGGCGCTGCAGCGCCGCCACCACCTTAGGCCAGAGGGGGTACTGCAGCTTTCAGCCCATCAGGGACCAGGTGACCTCAGGAGCAATCTGGTCTTCTGCAGCTTGTTGCTCTGTCCACTGAAGCCAGCTTGCCTGACTATATCATCCTTCGCACACAAGGGCAGCAGCGGCAGCGAGGGCTGTAGATGAGGATCCGTTTGCCCAGAGCTTTGCCGCCACAGAGAAAGTGCTTCCTTAGTAGGTTTGCAGGTGCAAATATGATCTGGCATACGGTGGTGAGCTTCGATGGAAGTCCTGTGTGCAGCAGCACTGTCGGCCCCCAAATATGTTCACATCCGCATGGCTTTAAATCAGCAGCACTGCTGCAGAATGTGCGCACCTCCTGAGATTAGCTGCCTCCGAACATGCATTTTAAATCGCCCCACTGACACAGATAGCATTGCCATGGTAATTAATGCTAACACTGCGAGGAACGGCACATTTAAGGTGGCGGTGGGGAGATTTCCTATTTTAGATTCCCTGCTCTTCGGAGGATGGCTGATTTGCTCTCCATTGACAATGATGTCACCTTTCACAGCATTAGTGAAGGCTGCATTTTCACTTTATGTATCAGCATGAGGATTCCAGGGACTTTGTTTGGAAATGAGAACAGGCAATGCAATTTAATTTGTCAGAATCATGCGCTACTCCAGAACACTTTGCTTTCATCGCTCTTTATTTTTCTTTTATTTATTAGACAGCTTTTGCCTCTGAACCAGATTCTCAAAGTGGCTAACAAATTAAGATTTTTTTAAAAAGACATGATTTAAGGCAACATCAAACTGATATACAAAACAACATGATAAATAGCCTCTTAAAGCGATCTCCAGCTTCTGCGATCTTCCAAGCCTTTCTACGCAGTCTTATTAATGAAAATAATAGCTGTAGTTACAGAGGCCATTTACAACAGAATTTAAAGCGGCGGCAGCAGCACCAATGTTAAAAACGCCATGACCAAGTATTAAAATGACTAAAAAGTAAATTTAGACAGCGATACGGACCAATTCTAAAAAGGGGTCAGAAAACTAGATCCCATGAGAACAGAGGTGGGTAATCTTTGGGCCTCCAAGCATGGCCAAAGGGCAGGGAGAAATCTGGAAGCCAGAGGTTCCCACACCTGCTTTAGAAGTCCGAGGTAACAGAAATATTCAATGTGAATCAATTTCTCAAACAGGCTTAAGGTTTTAAAAAGACACCATAAAACAGCAAATCGGTACACAACATAAAATGGTGAAAAGAAGAGCACGGCTCAAAGCCACTTCCAGCATCAGCAACAATCTGCCCATCCAACGCAATGCTGCCTACTCTGACTGGCAGTGATCCTCCGGGGTCTCTGGCAGGGGGTCTTCTTCCCTATCACCTGCTACATAATGCTTCTAGGTGAACTATGCACCCTCCACCCCATAATAACCTTACAGCGGAACACAATTATTTCTATTGGGAGGGGATCAAGCAAAGATGGGCCCCAGAGGAGTCAGATTCATGAGTAGGAGAAAGATTTCATCGCAGGGAACATTTCAGACATGCAATTACCGTATTTTTCGCTCTATAGGACGCACCCAACCATAGGACACACCTTGTTTTAGAGGGGGAGGAACAAGAAAAATAATTTCTCCCCCTCTCTGTGCAGCGCCCCTTCAGCGAAGCGGCAGGGGAAACGGAGCCCCTTCCATTTCTCCCGCCGCTTCGCTGAAGGGGCGCTGTGCTGAGAGGGGGAGATTTCCCCCCCCCCTTGTTCTCCCCCTCTAAAACTAGGTGCGTACAGTGTGTTCAAGGTGCGTTCAGTCACCTTCAGTGAAGGCAACCCGAAGCCTCCGGAGCGCAGCGGGAGTTCTTTGGAAGCCTGGAGAGCACGCTTTCCTCCACCGCCAGCCTCAAAGAGCAGGTCGGAGCTGGCGGGGGAAACCCAGGTTTCCCCCCCCCCAGCCCCATGGACCACACATTCGCTCCATAAGACACACAGACATTTCCCCTTAGATTTTAAGAGGAAAAAGTTGCGTCTTATGGAGTGAAAAATACGGTAAGCTGGCAGAGCTGTCACAGAGAAGCCAGTGCAACTTTCAATCAGGTTTGAGGACACAATATAAGTCCCAGGAGAGACTCCCGAGGGGCACAGAAGAACCTTGGTCCTATGGGCAGATTTTATCTCTCCCACGCCTGTGGGCCAACTTTGATAGGTGGGAGGAAATACATGCCTGTCAATCAAATGATGTCGCTGTGACTCCAGCTGACTGACACCTGTCAAAGTTCAAAGGGTGCAGCGTTTCCAGGCACCCCAAAACCAGCTGATTTTGGGGTGTGCGAGAAGCAACTTGCAGAGGGCTGAGCACGTCCTGCAAGTTCTGTGCTTGGCGCTTGAGAAGTGTTCACCCCGGGGTGGCGGAGAGCCTTGTGCCGGGCTTCCAAAGCAACCAACGACCAGCTGGTTAGCAAGCGCAGATTGAGGAGGTTGTGTGTGATGCCAATCTATGGCGCTAGCAAAGCCCCGTCCTTAACTGATGTCATATATGAAGTTGGGTGTATGGCAGGTATGTGTGGCTTGGCCAAAACAGAGACCACCAGCCATATCTGGTCCCCTGACTGGTCTCCTCTGCAGCAGCCAACTTTGACTCAGCAATTCCCAAACTGGACCAGGGCTCATCGATGAGAAGATGAAACACATTTGGTACCTTAAAGCAAAGCCAGGGCGACTGCCCACAGAGAGCAGTCTGCCCTTGCCTCCTTCCAATGAGCTTTCACCTCCCTTTGCAGAGACATAGCAGAATTCCTTCTCTCCGTGGGGGCTGTTCGTTGCATCCCTGCGTGAGTCACAGCTCTGCGCCAGTCTCCTCCCAATGGGGAGGGACAGCCAGATCATCGGCTTATGCAGAAGTGTGTGCTTGCACGCGTCATCTGAAAGGCTAGTAATTCTTACTCCAAAAGTCAAACTTTTGGAGTGCCTGTGGCGGTTATTGCTCTATCCTTTAATATGCTTTTCCCGCCAGCGGGGTTTGCATGGCGTAATCACACATTACATGCATGTATATGTAGAGAAATCCAAAGGACCTTTAAAAAAACCGAATAAAAGACCCTCTTGCAGTGCATGAAACAGAGGCCAGGGGGCGGGGGGGGGGGAGAAGCAAGGGCTTATTCCTTCCCTTCCTCACCGTTTTGTCATTCCAAATTGCCATCCCCAAACAGCTGCTGCTGCAAATGCGTGTCTGTCCTAGCAAATTAGGATTCTGCTCCGCCAGCTTTAGCAGCTTCTATGCTGTCCAGCGTTACGTTCAACCAGTCAATAATGAACTCATGGCTGTCAGGACTCACTGCCAATGGTGGGCGAGGACTTATGTCTGCAGCTGCAAATGATGTCAAATGCTTAACGGCCACTTTGCCCGGGGTGAGGGGGGGGGGAGAAAGCAGCAGTTTCCTAATTTCTATTTTTGCGACTCTTTCCTGAAATATATACATTCAGAAAGGGGAAAAAATCTTATAAATGATTTGATAATAAAAAATCCCAACCTCACCCCTCCAGAAATCTCAGCAATGGTTATTCTTTTTCTAGCAGCTTTGGGACAACGTTGGTCTGGAACCACATGAAGCTGAAGATGAAGCCCATGGTTTTAGGGAGAGCTTCGTCAAATGCAAAAGTCATGCAGTCCTGCAGAGGTATTTCCACCACCTCAATCAGCTCCCCTTCTTGTGGCTGGCCTCCGCCTTCGCCGGCTTTCATCTCGTCTGTTACCTCGGCGTAAAACAAGGTCTGCTTTGATCCAGACACACCAACACCAGATCTTTAGGGGTGAGAGAGGGAGAGGGGAGAAACCAGTATGTATTTAAGGAAACCTTTCATGAACACCTGTCAAAATAAGGGGCACTCTGCAACTGAGAGCAGAACGACACAGTGTGAGAAACACAGGATGTTGCTGAATGGCAGCCCTGCACTTCTGTAATCTATATACAGTGGTGCCCCGCAAGATGAATGCCTCGCAAGACGAAAAACCCGCAAGACGAAAGGGTTTTCCGTTGCGGAGGCGCTTCGCAAAACGAATTTCCCTATGGGCTTGCTTCGCAAGACGAAAACATCTTGCGAGTCTCACCATTTCCCCCCCGCTTTCCCCCCCCCTTTCAAAGCCGCTAAGCCGTTAATAGCCTTTTAGCCGCTAAGCCGCTAAGCCTTTAATAGCCACTAAGCCGCTAAACCGCTAATAGTGCTAATCCGCTTAGCCGCTAATGGGGTTGATTCGCAAGACGAAAAAACCGCTAGACGAAGAGAATCGCGGAACGGATTCTTTTCCTCTTGCGAGGCACCACTGTATAATAAAATAATAATAATAATAATAATAATAATAATAATAATAATAATAATAATAATAAATTATTATTATTATTATTATTATTATTAATTACTACCATCCAGCTTACACATTTACACCCAGCTTATTAAACACTAAGAATTGAAATAGCATTAAAAGATCCATTAAAAACATGGACAATAACAATATAAACATCACGACACCAGCCCTTTCCTCAAAAACAGTCAGTTCCCAAATATCTATTGCAGGGGTGCCAACATGAATAAAATATTGGGGGGTGGGCAGGTAAGCCCCATCCAATGTAATTGATCGACCGATGTAGTGCATGCACAGCATTTGAATGGCAATGCCCATCAGTTGGGGGCCCCCCTCAAATATTTTATTGGGGGGAGGGAACCGCCAAAAGGCCCTCGGCACTGGACCTCAGTGTCTGGGCAGAACGATGGGGGTGGAGACGTTCCTTGTTGTATGAAGAAATCAGCTGGCTGGGTTAAGGCAGACGGTTGCCATTCTCAGAGCAGCCCTGCGTTTCTTCTTGGTTCAGAGAAGGGTGGTCAGAATGATCAGGTGGTTGGAGGAAATCCCCTCTGCGGAAATGCTACATTATTTTCGGGTTTTTGGTGACCCAAGAAGGAGATGATAAAGTTTTATAAACTTATGCATGGTGTCGAATGAAAGGGAGAAAAATATTCTCCCTATCTCTTAATACTGGAAAGGTAGGGTCCTCCAACAAAACTAATTTGAAGTAGATTCAGGGCAGAAAAAAGGAATGCAGGATTTAAAGGTATGGAATTTGTTGTAAGTGGATGCGGCGATGCCCACCAACTTGGGTGGGAGAAATTCATAGAGGGAACCTCTGCAAAAGATTATTAGTCATGCCAGCCAGAGGTTCAGTAACATTTGCAGAGGTGCTGCTGTGGGCCTTCCTCTGAGACTGGGTACTGGATGGGCTTTTGAATTGATCCAAACTGATATATTTATGTTCTTATAACACGCAGGCATGGGGTTTCCAGTTCACAATCTTGCTGCTCTGCCACACTTCCAAGTTAGACACAGTGGTACCTCGGGTTACATACGCTTCAGGTTACATACGCTTCAGGTTACGGACTCCGATAACCCAGAAATAGTACGTTGGGTTAAGAACTTTGCTTCAGGATGAGAACAGAAATTGCACCGCGGCAGCAGGAGGCCCCATTAGCTAAAGTGGTGCTTCAGGTTAAGAACAGTTTCAGGTTAAGAATGGACCTCCGGAACGAATTAAGTACTTAACCCAAGGTACCACTGTACTCTCTCTCTCTCCATCTAAATATAAATATATGTTGCAATAGGTTTATTTGTCATCCATTCTTTCATTTATTTTGTGTTCTCATTTTGTATTTCTACGTTGTGCACTGCCCTGTGATCTTCAGATGAAGGGCAGTATACAAATTTAATAAATAATAAATAATAATTATAGTGAAATAATCTACTCTTACGTTTCTGAATCCATCTTCAAAAATTGACACTTATTGATCATCCTGTGCTTTTAAGCATACAAACCCTCCAGTCAAATTATGAAATCGATTCATTAATAAAAGGAAATTCAAGCAAATGCACTATGCGGCATCTGAGGAACGTATTATACTGCTTTTATAAGCAAATCCAAAATCACGACGCTCTTTGTACTGCACGCCAATTCCGTGCACACACACACAATGGGCAAGCTGATGAGCGATTAAGGTAATTTCCCAAGGTAATTGATTTGGACCTTTACACAGTTCTGAGGTTATAAGTAGCAGGTGCAGGAAAAACACACACACAAAGAATAGAAGCAATTGAAACAAAATTATATTATATTATACTATCTGCAGACAGGTGTACTGGCAGGTGATTCCGTCTAATTACAAAGCATGTCATTGTACTGTGGCCATTAACCAGAGCAGTAAGGTTAAAATTGTATTTATGCGAAGATTACCATGGAGAGTACAGCATAAGACAGCATTAACTCTACCAGGTATGGCCAGTATACTGTATTTTTTATGGGAAAACATTAAAAGACCCCACTGGCAAAATAAAAAACAAATGAAGTGAAACCATATGTCTGAAATAATAATAATAATAATAATAATAATAATAATAATAATAATGTTGATAATAATAATAATAATAATAATAGTAATAGCAGCCCACCCATCTGGCTGGGTTCCCCCAGCAACTCTGGCCAGTTTCCAGCACATATAAAAGCATAATAAAATGTAAAACATCAAAAACTTCCTAATACAGGGCTGCCTTCAGATGTCTTTTAAAAGCTGTGTATCTCCTTGAGGGCTTTCCACAGGGAGGGCGCCACTGTCGAGAAGGCCCTCTGCCTGGTTCCCTGTAACTTGGCTTCTCACAGTGAGGGAACTGCCAGAAGGCCCTTGGAGCTGGACCTCAGTGTCCGGGCAGAACGATGGGGGTAGACACTTCTTCAGGTATACTGGACCGAGGCCATTTAGGGCTTTAAAGGTCAGCACCAACACTTTGAAATGGGCTTGGAAATGTACTGGGAAATGTGCTAGATAAGAAACTTCTGGATAGTAAACTGTTTTCTGCTTGCCATTTTTCATATTAGTGAAAATGGTGTACAGATATACATTAGATCAGGGGAAATTGCACTAAAATGGTGATGAATTTCCATGAAAACTATTATTATTATTACTACAGTCATACCTCATGTTATGTCCCCTTCATGTTACATTATTTCAGGTAACGTCCCGCGGCGACCTGGAAATACTGGAAAGGGTTACTTCCGGGTTTTGCCGCTCGCGCATGCGCAGAAGCGGCGAATCGCAACCCGTGCATGCGCAGATGTGCCGCTGAGGGTTGCATTCTTTTCATGTTGCGAATGGGCCGCCAGAACGGATCCCGTTTGCAACTAGAGGTACCACTGTATTATTATTATTATTATTACAAAACTGATGTGGAAATTCGGCAAACAAAACTTTTAAGATCTGAAAAATGAGGAACTGACCCTGAGGGATAACTCGGCCATTAGAGCACAAGACTCTTAATCTCCGGGTCGTGGGTTCAAGTCCCATGTTGGGTAAAAGATTCCTGCATTGCAGGGGTGGGACTAGATGACCCCTGGGGCCTCTTCCAACTCTACAAATCTGTGATTTTGGTTTTGTGACCGGTTCAGCCATCCCTACGCAGCACACAACACAGACTCTGCCGTTTAAACGACCCTTCAAGTCCTAACGTATTGGCAGTTGTTGTTGTTTAGTCGTGTCCGACTCTTCGTGACCCCATGGACCAGAGCACGCCAGGCACTCCTGTCTTCCACTGCCTCCCGCAGTTTGGTCAGACTCATGTTTATAACTTCGAGAACACTGTCCAACCATCTTGTCCTCTGTCGTCCCCTTCTCCTTGTGCCCTCCATCTTTCCCAACATCAGGGTCTTTTCCAGGGAGTCTTCTCTTCTCATGAGGTGGCCAAAGTATTGGAGCCTCAGCTTCAGGATCTGTCCTTCCAGTGAGCACTCAGGGCTGATTTCCTTAAGAATGGAGAGGTTTGTTCTTCTTGCAGTCCATGGGACTCTCAAGAGTCTCCTCCAGCACCATAATTCAAAAGAATCAATTCTTCGGTGATCAGCCTTCTTTATTGGCAGAGAGGGAGGCAAAACTCAAATGTCTGGGTAAAAGGGGAGGGGGCTGTGACTGGTGTAGTCTTGCTTCTTCTGTCTGTCCCTAATCTCTGTAGGGACCTCCTGTTCTTCTCTTTGCCTCAAAAGAGCAAACCCAGATGCATCCATAATTATCCCCCCCCCCCCAATAACATTGACGGAATGATAATACAAATGCGGAGGGGAGGGACAATTCCCAGCCTGTTTACTCAGGAGTAAGCCCCCTTGAGTCCAGCGAGGATTATTCCTAAGTAAGCAGGCCTAGGATTGCAGCCTGTCTTTCACACCAAAGAAAGCACCTTTTCATCTGGGAAGCCAATAGCATAATCTGGCTCCAAGGAGTTGTAAGAGACAGCTCCTCTGTTCCTCTTCTCCTCCCCCTAGCAAAAGCTCCTTAATCCAGCAGGAAATGACATTTGCCAGGATTGACAGCTGTGGATCTGAATTTAATTCCCAGTCCCCCGCCCCTCTTCTTCTTCTTCTTCTTTCTTAAAGCATGTCAGTGTCCACTTCAATAGAGTTGTCAAGGGGGAAAGCAAATAAAGTTTTCCTTTCTTTGAAAGTCCCAACTCTCCATACATTTCGACATGCATCTCCAAGTAGGGGAACAGAAGCTTCCCCCCCCCCATAAAGCTGCAATCTGGGGAGGCAGAAGGCTCTGAGCACATTTTCATTTTAGATTATTTAATTCTTGACATTTCCTTAATTCCAAATACTAGACGCATTCTGCATACACACAGTTGGCTTCCCCTCTTCGTTCTGGTGGAATTTCAATGTGCCTTAAAAAAAAAAATCCTTCTAAAATAGTTGGGATTACAAAATGTATCCCAAATTGCATCTAATAATTTTGATTTAAATCAGCATGTAACGTCCCAAGGGCTGGAAAATGATCCACTTCAGTAATTCCTAAATGATGTGCTGGGGCACACCGGTGGGCTGTGTGGAACAAATGAATTAAAAATGCAACTCTCCTATGTGCTCAGTGTACTTTCTCAAAGGAGGCTGCCTGGTGTTTCTCTGCATGATTTGTTGTTCCGGCACTGCATTCTTCCAATCCACTCGGACAGGAGGTAAGACTTGAGAGGCCTTGGGCTAATAATAATAATATAGAAAAAATGACCAGATGTTAAGGGGACAAGAATAGTTGTTATATATCCAACAGTCTGATTGTGTCTGTGCCAAAAAAAATGCCCCATATAGGTAGTTTCCCCCACATCATTTCCCCACCTACTGAGAATTGTAGAGTTGGAAGGGACCACAGGGGTCATCTAGTCCAACCCCTTGCAATGAAGGAATCTTTTTGCCCAACATGAGTGGGGCTCGAACTCGCGACCTTGAGATTAAGAGTCTCATGCTCTATGGGAGTGGGACAAGGGGACACAAGATGGAGCTACTGTTTTCAGTGGTGGAGCCATGTCAAACGTGACATTTTAGTTCAGCCCTGAGTAACTCTGTGCAGCTTTGAAGAAAAAACAAAAGGGGAAATGACGTGTCCGGAACTTAGGTGGGCATGGTTAGACTTCCCCGCAAACTAATTGCAGGAAGAGATATTATCTCTCCTGTGCAATCCACCTCCTCTTCAACCCCCAAGGAAGTGAAGCAACAGGTGAAGGCAGGTAAAGGCTTCCCTTGTCAGGCTACTATTGAGGAAGGGACAAAGCTTTTATTGCCTTTTCCAGCTTTCTATTTTGTTTGTTTTATGGCGGTTGTTGATGACTGAGCTGGGTTTAGGGTGGCTGTTATCTGACTGGAGAAGGGGCATAGCACAGTCAGCCTGCAGGTCTTGGGTTCAATCTTTCAGATCTCCAGATTAAGGGGGAAAGAAAGATCTCAGGAGCAGGGCTAGGAAAGATCTCTGCCAGAGACCTTTGAGAGATTCTGGTGGAGAGCATTAAAGAACATTAGCCCATGATCTGGCTCAAAGGGTTGTCAGAGTACCTAACTGTGGGATGTAATCCATTGGTACAGTCAAATGCTACATTCCTTATTTCCCTGGAGTGGACACAGGCAGGGGGACATCCAGTCAGGGTAACTTTCTCTTCCATTGGTCTGGAGCATCCTCCCCCTGCATGTGACCTGGGAGATGGGCATGGCTCTGGCTGACTCCACAAAAGAGCCAAGTCATGCAGACATTTTCTTAGTCTCTAGTTCTGTATTCACTTGCTTGTTGATCTTTTGCTGCCATGCTGCTCTCCTGGAGCCATTTTGTTCTCTTAATGTAATTTTGCTGTCTGCTGGCTCTCAGCCAGCAGCACATAAGTTCAGTCTCCACATGAGATGAACTCACAGTTTCTTTGTGTAACTACTAAGTAAAGTCTGCCTTTCAGGGATCAAATCGTGAACTGAAATGTGAGTAAAGTTTTTGTTACTTTACTCAGAAAGACTCTTGTGTCTTTATTCTTTTAAGAGGGATCAGAGGGGACACCAGGAAATAAACTTAACTAAGAGATTCAAATGAATCTGCAAACTAGCTTCCAGCTACATTGAGGGGAATCTGCTCTGCTACATCACTTAGTAGCGTCAGTGAAGGAAGGATAATACTTATTCAAGATATCCTTTCCCACTATCCTTAACATTCCCACACTAACAGCATGTTCGGGAAATGTTCGGCTTGTCTGATTTCATCAAGGTTTACCCTGCCAGCTGCTCTCCGAAAACCACCAAGCCCAGAATCGACTTACCTGCACGAAGTAATTTTCTTCAGGCTGGCTGTAGGGATCTCATACCCACACTCTTCCAAGACTTCCATGCAAGCTGTCTCTTCCAAAGAGAGCTCTGGCTTGTCTACAATGCCAGCGCAGAGCTCATAGGTCACTCCCGTTGAAGGAGGCAAGTGGCCTGGCAGAGGGCACCAGCTCCCCTGGTTTTCACGTTCAAAGACTTGAGGGCAGAGCCGCTCCATCTCACACATGTAGACAGCTGGAGGGGGGGGAAGGTAAAATGTAAGACTCTGGCACTCACCTGACCTTAACAAGAGATGGCCAAACCATCACACCAATCAAACACCTCCGGCCTCTATTTATTTATTATAAGATGCATGTTATTACAGTTGCACTTAGAAGTCCCTGGTGCATTTACTGTGCTGCATTGTTTGAAAATAAGTTTGTGTGTGGACATCCAATTAGTGCTAATTAGCAGAACATGAGAGACTCTGCATGATTTACAAAGTTAGATTCCTGCAAGATCTCTCTCCCTCTCTCTCTTTTTTTTAGAAGAAGAGTTTGGATTTGATATCCCGCCTTCCACTCTCTTTAAGGAGTCTCAAAGCGGCTAACATTCTCCTTTCCCTTCCTCCCCCACAACAAACACTCTGTGAGGTGAGTGGGGCTGAGAGACTTCAGAGAAGTGTGACTGGCCCAAGGTCACCCAGCAGCTGCATGTGGAGGAGCGGAGACGCGAACCCGGTTCCCCAGATTACGAGACTACCGCTCTTAACCACTACACCACACTGGCTCTCAAGATCTCTCTCTCTGTCCCCCTCCAGCATTAATTCTACTTTGGGGAGCAACTTCTGTCTCAAGGCAACTTCCGTTTGCCAGCCAACATTTCACAGGATTCATTGATACTCGCTGGGATGTTGGGCTGCACACGATGTACCATGTGCGCAATGACGAGTGTTTCAGCCTGTCAACTCAGCTGCTGTTTCGGCAGAGTTATGAAAAGCACGCGTGTTTGTTTAAGAAAGCCCTTTTTCAGCACATAGTACCCCCCCCCCCCGGTGCAGAGTGGATTGCGGAGTGGAATTTGCAAAAGACCTTTTGCATTAATCTAGAAACAGCTGTTGCGGTAATACTCTCCTAAAGGAAATGCTAAGAGCCATGTAATACCATCAAAGGAAACACAAAGCGCTGGATTCTGCACGCTTGATCCGGTCTATGTTGGCGTGCAGACTGCCAAAAGGCAGGCTGCTGCGACGAGAAGCCTTTGTTTCAGGAAGGCCACCTTTTTCTCTCGGCCTTGCTTCTTAGCCTTTCATGGCAGCCTGGCAATATATAAATTAATCTGCCATGCCGTGGGGGATAAGGGGTAGGTCACACCTACATATAGGCTGCCATGAAAGGATTGGAGTTGGCCCAAAGAGTGGGGGTCCTTTTAAAAAAAAGGGGGGGGGGGCTGAAGAGGTGGGAGAGGTGTCCCAGGTGAACAAAACAAAGCAAAAGGAAACTCCTAGAATTGGAAGATCTACTGAAGATCAGGTCAATTCTGTGTCCAGGGCAGCTGTCTACCAGCTCTATCTGGTATACAGGCTGAGACCCTACCTGCCCGCGGACTGTCTCGCCAGTGGTGCATGCCCTAGTTATCTCTCGCTTGGACTTCTGCAATGCGCTCTATGTGGGGCTACCTTTGAAGGCGACCCGGAAACTACAACTAATCCAGAATGCGGCAGCTAGACTGGGGACTGGGAGCGGCCGCCGAGACCATATAACACTGGTCCTGAAAGACCTACATCGGCTCCCAGTACGTTTCCGAGCACAATTCAAAGTGTTGGTACTGACCTTGAAAGCCCTAAATGGCCTCGGCCCAGTATACCTGAAGGAGCGTCTCCACCCCCATCATTCTGCTTGGACACTGAGGTCCAGCGCTGAGGGCCTTCTGGCGGTTCCTTCACTGTGAGAAGTGAGGTTTCAGGGAACCAGGCAGAGGGCCTTCCTGGTAGTGGTGGCCGCCCTGTGGAACACCCTCCCACCAGATGTCAAAGGGATAAACAACTACCTGACATTTAGAAGACATCTGAAGGCAGCCCTGTTTAGGGAAGTTTTTAAAGTGTGACATTTTAATGTATTTTTGATCTTTGTTGGAAGCCGCCCAGAGTGGCTGGAGAAACCCAACCAGATGGGCGGGGTACAAACAAACAAACAAACAAACAAAGTAATTATCATCATCTAGTCCAAACCCCTGCAATGCAGGAATATACCTCTGTCCCATACAGGGATCGAACCTGCAACCTTGGCGTTATCAGCATCAGGCTCTAACCAACTCTGCAAAAGGCAGCTGCTTTCTTTAGTGGGTCACACATTTCGAAGCCTAAATGGTTGGGACTAGGGAATCTAAAGCATGTTTGTAAGTGTAGTGCACCCTATTGTCCTGGGATAGCTCAGTTGGTACAGCATGGGACTCTTAATCTTGGGGTCATGGGTTCAAGCTGCACGTTGAGCAAAAGATTTCTGCATTGGAGGGGGTTGGAGTAGATGGCCCTTGATGTCCCCTTCCAACGCCACAATTCTATGATTCTACAATTCACCAGAAAGGCTAGTGCATCTTCCCCCATCTCCGTCACAAAATATTACGCCACAGGTATTCAAAGGCCCACCTGCTTTTTACTGCTAAAGCCCCTCAAAAGCTGTGCTTCATTGGAGAGCAAGAACTAAAAGCAAAGAAAGGGGATTACCTGGACGAAACTGCTTCACCACAACAAAGCACCGCCGAGAAGTATTAAAGATCAGGATGGCCACGCTGAGGAAGGAGACAAAAGCACAAGGGAGGAGGAAACGCAGATCAATGCACTTGCAAGCAAGGAGGCATCCCTAGGCTTTAATGGGTTTAGGGGCTTGGCCTTGGAAGGCAGGATGAGCTAGCCACAAGAACACAAGCTAAGGACACAGTTGTTAAATTCATAATCTAATTTCGGAGATAAGTCTCTGGCACGACTCTATGTTTCCGCACACCAACTCTGGTAGGAAGCTGTAGAGTCGTCTGGACACATGGCATGCAATAGTACTGGGGGCAGATGGAAATGATAGTTATAATGACCCTAAGTGGGACTGCAAGAAAATGTCATGGTGTGGCTCCTGTCCAGGGTTCCGGTCAGCCACACCCACTTCCAGGACTCCGCCTTTCTGTTTCCTGCTCCCAGCATTCCATGCTCACTGAGCATGCTCCGTCCTCGTGGGACGGCTTTTCCAAGCAGCTGCCCCTGGTTCTTTTTCCTAAATATTTTTGTGCTTTTTCTGCAGACCTTGCGATTCCCTTGTGCCTAGTGATATCGTTTCTTGGCTGCATAAAGGACCCCCACTCTTATACAATCAGTACATCTTATAGGGTATGAAACAGAGGCTTGGTTGTTTGAGACTTCCATCATATGCCAGACCGCCAACATTTTTGGCATGTTGAAGGAGTTGCCATCAAGCAAAGCAATGGCGCGTGTATGACTGGCGTGTCAGTTAGTCATTTGGGACCATATTTGCTGATTTCTGCGAAACTTCTCTGGAGCAAGTGCCGTCGCTCTGACGCACAGAAGTGAACAGAAACTTATATTAAGATGGGCAAGTGGTTCCGGCAGTTATTTTACATCGGAGACAAGAAAGCATCAGAGACAGTTGTAGTCAAAAAGGTTCGCAAATAATCACAGAAGAATTAAATAATCAAGAAGCTTCATCTTATTAATCAAATTGTTCCCTATCACATGTTAATAATAAGTAACGATCAAAATGTACTTACTTATTTCATAAAATGTACACAATGCTTGATTGTAAGAAAACTCAAAGAAGTATACACTATTTGAGGCTATAGAAAGCTTTTAATATTCCCCTTTTCTCCGTCTTTCTAAATTCATTTCCCCAACTGACTCTAAATAACATCCCATAACCAATTCTAAGTGCCTTGGAATTATCTTGTCAATCTCAAAAAGCTCTCCACCAGTAGTCTAAAAGGCCTAAAAGCATTGCACATGCAAAATGGCTAAGAATTGGAGGCTACGACACTTAACACAAATTATGCTGTGAGCAACACACACACACACACACACCACACACACACACACACACACACACACACACACATTTCCTCTCCCTATAATATGGGTTCAGTGTAAGTTATGGCAGTTTCTGGAAGGCAGACAAATAATTGTGTATCCGAGGGTGACATGATCTATGCAAAACTCAGCCCAGTCATAAAACTCTACATAAAAGTAAGATCCACTGAGCCCAGAGCGACTTTCCTCCCCAAGCACAGATGGGACAAAACGAAGGGCTGACGAAATTCCACCCTCACAACCTGTTCTTCCTCATTTCCCTTTGGAAATTTGGAGGTATAAAGCTTCTTACAAATTTTTCCCATGCTTTTTATATGGAAGAGATTTTTTCCTGGTTTTTCTAGCCGGATTTAATGCCAACTAACTGTCAAGCATATTTGTTAATTGATGTATATATTAGAGTTCCATGATAACTTGTTGACTACCGAATATTAATTTTGACTGATACCTTGCCCTGTTTCAAAGACCCAGGAATCTGTTCAAGGCGGCTGAAGGGTTACAGAGAACATAAAAGAGAGAGGTGATTATCAAGGAGTTATACAATACCATAGTGCTGAGAAAGCTTGTCTTTAATTCTTCATCTGTGAGATTTGCACAAGGTGAAATGTGGTTATGTCTGATATTATTAAAATTAACCACAACCTTAATAAAAATAAAAAGCCGTCTCCATAGCACTGAGACTGTTTCCCCAGCTTCCCCCCTTCTTTCTGCCTCTTTTATCTGTTTCCCAAAGGCTATTTTTTGTGGTGTCCCCCCCCCCAGTGTTTTTTCCTTATAAAAAATCCCCACTATGACATGGGGTATTGCTTTCTATGAGCCAAATCGCTAATAGCCTAAGGACCTGACCATGCATGAAACTGCAGTCCATTCACTCTCCCAAAGGTCCCCCAAGCTGTCCAGAATTAAATGGGTGTCAACACAAGCAATACAATTTGCTTGCTTATGATTCTAGTTGAATTCTGCAGAGTGCAAACAGGGGTAGAGGCAACTGCCCTATGAACATGTCGCCTTCCTACCCAACAGGTAGCCTGCATAGTATCTCTCAGGGATGCAGGACATTTGGAGAGGAAGTCATGCATATTGCCACAGCAAGAGGCACATCCTGTCTCGTTTTGCCCCCAATGGCCAGTGAGAAACCAATGACAGAACCTGAGAAAAAGCTAGGAAAAATATTTTCCACACATAGACAAGCCAGAAATGGCAAAACGATAAATTTTGAGGGGAGGGTTAAAACCATCCGATGAAGTATTTTCTCTTTCGGAATGAGGAAAGAAGGCTTTTAAAGTGAATTTTTGCAACATTGCTGCTGATTCCGACTGGGTGGCTAAGCAAGCAACACTCTTAAGGCGATGCTGGAAAAAGCATTTCCAAATATTGTAGAACGCAGAAGATCTTCAGGTTTTAAGTCTCGGAGTGCAGTCTGGGATTAGGGGAAGCAAACAAAGTAATAAAGGAAGTTTATGGATCATAAGAAAGAAATTCTTGCCAATATTTCAACTTCTCTCAAAGATGGGGGGAGGGGCTATACTCTCCCCCATAAATGGCTGCATAGTTTTCAGAAATTTTGCATTTCTGATCTCACAGAGGAGTTATGTGCCTCTCAAGGGTTTTTAATATGTGTTCCTGCATTTTATCACGGCCATAATGATTGGATACTACACGAGTAATACATTTTCAAAAGGCTCACAAAATTAGAATTTATATTCCAACAAAGAGAAAGAAAGAGAGAATAACGATGACATGAAAACGAAGTAGCATGTGTCAACTCACTGAAGAATGGGTTATTATCCCCCCTCCCGATTCAGTCACTTAAAGACATACACAGAACAGATGGAACAATCAGAACCAAGCTGTCAAAGTTAAGGAACAAGATCAAATTAAACTTGAATGGAATAGTGTTTTCATTACAACTGTCTCCTTTCTGTGCCATCTTGAGACAACAGGGAACGTTGAAACACGGAAGATTTGTGAAACTTAACAAAGTATCTGCAAAAAGCCAAATTAGTTGTTAGTTTAATTAATAGTTTAGCTTCCTTGAACACTGATGAAAGGGGTTTTCTTGTTCTAAATTGGAAATGTTTGTTTACTGTCAGATATTTAAGGCGGTTCAGCGAACTAGGCTTCAGATAATTTACTTTCAGTTTCCCTTAAAAGTGGCAAGCCCTTGTGAACTTGGGGAGGTTGAGGCTTATCACTAACTCCAGGCACTGGCGGAGGAACGGGGGCGGGGGGAGCACATCACCCCCGGCCCCATCGGGGGGGGGGTACCATCATGGCCGCTCCGACACGCGCCGCCACCCCACCACACCCCCAGGACGCGCAACAGCCACGCCCCCGCCTGCTCTCCGCCCCCGGTGCCAGAGCATGCAGCTTCGCCATTGACTCCAGGCCAACTTCAAACCACGGTTTATGGAAACTGGCTTGTTCAAACAGCTAATTGTAAACCATTGCCCCCAGTTCTCACACTATGACAAGCTGAGTTTAAGGGAAACGGAAGGTAAATGATGCCCAGTCCTTCTCCTGGCTATGTGAGAGGAAGTCGCGGGGACTGCACAAGTCTGACGCTCGCTTGGGCTCATTCCAGCTCAAGTGCATCACGCTAAACCATGGTTTAGCGCAACATGCAAACACAGCTGCAGTGAAACTTCATTAGGCTGCCCAAAATATCAGACAAATGAGAAGATAAATTGGGGGGGGGGGGACACAAGCTGAAATAAGTAATGGGCCTGCTCATTCCAGTTTCCATTGACTTTTTTTGGGGGGGGGCTGGCTTGGCCTTGTGGTTGAACACTTCAGCCCAGTATGCCTGAAGGAGGGTCTCCACCCCCATTGTTCAGCCCGGACACTGAGGTCCAGCTCCGAGGGCCTTCTGGTGGTTCCTTCCCTGTGAGAAGTGAGCTTACAGGGAACCAGGCAGAGGGCCTTCTCGGTAGTGGCACCCGCCCTGTGGAATGCCCTCCCATCAGATGTCAAAAAGGTAAACAACTACCTGACTTTTAGAAAACATCTGTAGGCAGCCCTCTTTAGGGAAGTTTTAAATGTTTGATGCTTTATCGTGTGTTTTTTTAAATTTCTTTTTATTGAGTTCTTTACAACAAAAAACATAAAAATATTGAAAAACAAAACAAAGAAGAATACAAAAAAAACAAACAAAGACAACACACATAGCAAATAAACAAACAAATCAACTCTAAAACACTAATTGACTTCCCTCCATCTCGGTTTGAGCTATACAAACACAATACCTCTCTGCAGTTTTATTTGGCCAAATCTGTACGTCGCAGGTTTTATATTTCACCTACTGTGATTTTAATATTTCCTAGATTTGCTTCAATGTATGTTACAAATTTGTTCCAGTCATTAATAAACTTTATACTTTTTTGATGTCTGATTTTCTGTGTCATCTTTGCTAATTCTATATACTCAAATAATTTAATTTGCCATTCTCTGACGGTTGGGATGTTAGGAGTTTTCCAGTTTTGCGCTAGCAGTATCCTAGCGGCTACTGTTGCGTACTGGAATAATGTTTGATCTTCTTTTTTGATCTCCTCTCCAATCATTCCCAAGAGAAAAGCTTCGGGCTTTTTGGGAAAGGTGTATTTCAATATTTTTTTTAATTCATCGTAAATAAGTCCCCAAAACCTTTTCAATTCTTCACAGGTCCACCACATGTGGTGAAAGTTACCCTCTTTAGTTTTGCATT